AGAATCTACCCTATCAAATTTCATAATGGGAATTCCTGACCACTTGACACTCTCTCTGCCAGAAATGTGTCCTGTAGAGAGCTAGCTTACAAAGGTAATGGCACTTCATGGTTAGATACCAGGGAAACCGTTTAAGAGTGGTGTGGGTCATATATGAGCTATAAAGTTCACTATTTTAAGAAGGAGGCTCTCGCGCATCTGGCAAAGAACCTCAGTGCCGTCGGCAGGCATATGTTCATTAACTTTTTCCCTTGAGGACCCAGAGGACCCAATGGAAAGGTTGTAAATTTCAAAAACATAAAATTTATCCACGAAATGGTGATGTAGCTTAGGGAAGTCTGCCTTTATTTAATAAATTGCTGCAATGCTCTTCCCTAAACCCTTACCTCAGCCTACAGAGAGTTTTTAAAAATTCCTACTTTGAAATGGGAAGTTAGGGGAATCTTAACCAGCTCTCTTATTTTCCGTTAAATCATCTGATTTTGAATGCTAGTGGATAAAGTTATCTCCTTCACTTCCACGGTTTAAACATTCATAGATACAATTGAACACTGCTGGGTTAGGAAATCCTGTATAGAAAATAAAATCCATCGTTTTGCGGCGACTCAATTCCGCTACTTTTGATTTCAAGCTCTCATTTTCGGCAGTTTTGTGACGAATTTCTTCCATAAGGTGTTATTTGTCGCTCTAAGTTCAAAAAGAAACTCTGTAAATTTTCGGCTGAATAATCGACAATGTTTCTTTATAGTTTTAAGTTTAAAAGTGCTTTTATTATGATAAAAAAAAATCTTACAAAAGCCATTACGTCAGATCTAGAGGTAATTTTGTTGACATCAATTTCAGGAAGTCGATTAATGGTAATCATGCAGATGCATAAAAGTGAGATCATTCCAAAAAATTGCCTCCAAAAGATCCTTTTCCAAACTCACATGTATATAAGAGACATCTATAACAATGCATGATCAGCTTATTTGAACCAAAAACCAAAGACACTATAAAAGTTTATTGCGCCGTCATTACGTTCAGACATCGATCGATATCGATGTTTTTGTGGTGTTTCGTGCATTTGCTCGTTTTCATGCAGAGTTCGCACTGCCATTTTTAAAGAATCCTCTGCAAAGCGTTGGAACAGGTATACTAAAAGCAGATAAGTTTACCTAACAACCGAGACAATGATGGATTTACAGTGCAATTTCCTGATTAGGGTTCCCTGGTGAACATTCAGAACTCTTTAGTCTTCTCAGGGACACAACAGACTCTGACCTAGCTGGCGTTGGCGCCCGATTGTCGAACCTTTGATGACAGCGGAGCATCCGCCAAAGAGTTTTCATAAATCCTGGGATTCTAAACGGATAAATTATCACGTTCACGAGAGAATTGCTAAATTGTAAGACCCTAGCGAGTAGGAATGTAAATGTCGAGTACGAAAAATTTCCTATAACGCCAAAGTATAACACTATATTAAGAATTTGAAATGGAAGCCAAGTCAAAATAGAAGCTCCCGTTATCAAAAATAAAGTCTTTGCTAACTTTGCCTCTCTTGACTGATTCTGGTTACCCATCGCTGATCTCTGTTTCTTCCAGATAACATAATATGCAAGACACATAACTATAAGAGGCGCGGCAGGACAAAAAATAAGAAGGCCCCATACGTTGATAAGAGTAAAAACTAAAACAGTGATCATTGCTGACATGATCCACGGTGTGGCAATAGCAAAGATGTATGCACGCAGTTTCAAAGTTCTGTGACGATAGGGCCAAGCGACGGCAAACATCCTCTCCACGGAAATGACGCCAAGAGTGTAGATGGAAGCTAACGCTGTGAAAACGTCAACACGGCGGAATACCATGCTTACAGTTACCGAAGATGCTTCATATGCTGCTAT